TATAGAGCAGTGATGGCGAACCTTTTGAGCTCGGCGTGTCAGCATTTTGAAAAACCCTAACTTAACTCTGGTGCCGTGTCACATATAGAAATTTTTTGATATTTGCAACCATAGTAAAACAAAGACATATTTTTTATATTTATTTAATATATTTAAATGCCATTTAACAAAGAAAAAATCAACCCAAAAAATGAATTCGCGTGTCAGAGGTGTCATTGGTTTGCCATCATTGCTATAGTGGGTAAAATACAGACATTGTTTATGTTCTGTGTCAGTGGGAAGTTCACAGTAGTTTTCCTGAAGGCCAATAACATAAATATACTCCAAATCATGAATGCCTAAATGACTGGTTACATGAAAGATGTGCAGTAAGGAACCATGAAAAGAAGTCTGAACCTTTTTGTCTCCTTCTCTGTTTGGACTCTTCAGAACAGGTGCTCCGCCTGATTTCAGCTCTGCCCTGGTGAAGTTTGCTTTGTTGCCTCCACCTTAGCAGAGAGATCAAGGTGAGTAGTAATCAGAGATTTTGTCTTGGTTGGGTTAATTTGTTTAAGGGTATTATTCATGGTATTATTAAAATTTAATAATAGCAGCATTATTTACAATTGCTCAGATCTGGAGGCAGCTGAAGTGCCCATCAGTAGAGGGGTAGATAAAAGAGTTGTGGGATATTTACACAATGGAATACTATACAGCTGTAAAAAAGAAGGATCTCTTACCCTTTGAAACAGCATGGAGGGACCTGGAGATTATTATGCTAAGTGAAATAAACCCGTGATAGAAAGATAAGTATCACATGATCTCATTTATCTGTGAAATCTAATGAAAAAAATAAATTGATGAGCAAAATAGGTCCAGAGACATGGAAGCATGAAACAGACTGACAAATCACACAGGGAAGGGGGTGGGTGGGAAGAGATTAACCAAGAACCCATGCATAACCCATGGTCAAAGACAATAGCATGGTGGAGGCCTGGGGTGGGGCAGGAGCCAGGTGGAGAGGGGCAAAGGAGTAAAATGAGGGACACCTGTAATATTCTCAACAAATAAATTAATACATTTAATAAAAATTAATTTATTGCCCCATGCTAAATATGATATGAAACATTACATTGATTAATTGAAATTATGTAACATTGAGATTGATTAATAAGAAAAATAAAATCTATGTTGGCAGTTATTCTGTAGACAATAGTTAGATATGCTCAGAGTTGTTGGTTTTTCAGTTTTTGTTTATCCTGTATGTATTTCATTATTGTCAGTGAATCAATGATTTAATCAACACAAATGTAGAAATTAGTGAGGAGAAAGTTGGCCTCTATGGACCAATGATAATGACTGTGGCAGAGGAGTTATGGACATTTAATAATCTGCCACTGTGAGGTGCAGATATCTACATTATAAAACATAAAATTTTTAATGTTTAAAATATTTTTATTATATTTTTGGGATGCCATTGGTTAATAAAATTATATAGGCTTCAAGTGTACAATTCTATAATACATCATCTATATATTGCATTGTGTGCCACCACCCACAGTCAAATCTTCTTAAGTAACTGCAAATATGAAATGTGGAAAGCAAGAATCAGTCAGGATTAAAGGCTTATTTATTTATTTATCTTCGATTGTGCTTTATGCTTTTCAGAATGGACACATGTTAGCTGGCTAAGCATTGTTCTGCGCTGCCGAGCTATATGATTACATCTCCGTGTGAAAAGCACACGGACCGATGGGAGTAATAGCCACAGTTCTCATCTTGAGTTTAGCGATTGATTTTTTTCAGTATATCATTAAAAAGTTTTACATAGGATTTCAGAAGGCCAGGTATAGCTCAGTGATAAATATTGTATTTTATGAAATATTAAATTGATTAATGCATAAATGCAAAACAATATAATTTTTAAAAGATATTAGATTCCATTTATAGGTTAAGGATATCATGACTCTTCCTGGTTTTTTTTTTTGTATGTGTGAGTAATTAGGGTTTTAAAATTATTAGCGAATTATGAATTAGTCAATAAACAGTGTAGAAATGAATGAAACAAATAGGGGTGATATTGGATCATTGATGACTACTGGTGGCATATGAGTCCTATATGATGACTACATGTTGACCTCTGAGGTCCAACATGAAATGTAGTCCATGCCCGTTGTTTGAAGGGATCCCCTAGGGCCTAGAAAATTGTCAGGAGTATATGAGGATCTTGGTTTTGATTTTTATGTTTATGCATTTTCTGTCTATATAATTGGATCTATGAAATAATTAATAAGCAAACATAAATAAATAAAGATGGAGGTGGCAAAATATTGTCCAATTATAAAGTAGGTGTTTAGTCAAGGTATATTTTAATGTATATTTAAAACACTGATGTTGGTAAGGGATTATATGGTATTAGGTCATTATTCTTTGACTAAGGATGATATAGGTATTGATAAGTGGTAGTTAATATTCATGTCTGTCAGTGGTCAGATCAATATTGTTCATTGACTCATGGGAAATTAAAATATATATTGTTTTAATGTAGATTACATGAATGAGTGGCTCAATGAAAGGTGAAATGCAATGACCAATGACACAATATCTCAACCTTTTATTTATTTATTATTATCTGTTCTGTCTTGAACTTAGCTTGGTCACATCTAAGATGATTTCAGCATTTCATGGTCAGAAACTCCATGGTTCCATCTCAGTGTTAAAAGCATGGGGACCAATGTGAGTAATAGTCAAAGTACTTTTCTTGGTTTTGTGTTTTTGTTTAAAAAGGTTTTCAGTGCATTATTAAAAATGTCATATAAAATAAAAAATTATAGCCATGGCCTATCAAGCATTATATTAAATTAATTAATGAAAGATTTATAGTCAGTAGGAAGTTTTGTTTTACTTTTTGTGACCTTTGTTTTTAGTTAACAAATTAATCAGTAAAAGCGCGAATGAATACAATAAGGAAGTAACCTGTACCAATGATGGTAATTGGTCAAGTACAAGTCTTGGATGATGAGTATTATAGGTCTGAAACTGAGGTCCAACATGGAACATAAATCTATTCTTCTAGTTGGAATTGCTTCCATAAAGAGATGTCAAGAATATACAGTGATCATATTCTCGTGAGAATTTCCTAGATGTAGATTTATTATTAATGCTACTGGTATATTGGTGGAACCATTCAACAAATATAAATAAGTATTTAGAAAATAAGAAAAAAAATAAAAAATAAGCAGGTGAGGCATGATCTAACTTTTAGTGTGTGGTGATGCCTCTTAAGAGATAAATGGATAGAGGTCTCACCTCTTTGACTGAGTCATAAATACTCTTAGAAGGAAGAATCCTTATTCTTCTTGGTCTTGAAGATTGAGTTTTTCCTTTTGTAAGATATATGTATATATAATATCTGTATATATATGAAAAGAAAAATAAATCAATAGTGAATTTATGAAATACGGAAAGAAAGCATCAGTGATGATTGGCTCTTTCTCTCTCTTTTTATTTTATTTTATCACCTTCTACTCTGTACTCCTGAGAATGGAAACACTCAAGCTGAGTAGAGCATCTTCCGTGGCCATGAGCTGTGTGGTTGTCTCTATATAAGAAGACGAAATTTAATGTAACAGTAAAAATTCTTTTCTTAGTTTCTGTGTTTTTTAAAAAGATAATTCACTGTTTTATTAGAAAGTCTGAAATATAATTAAAGAAGGCAAATGCATCTTAGTGATAAATATGGGAAATATGAAACATTATATTGATTATTCCAGTGGAAAACTGAGGATAATTAATGAAAGTGACACATTGATGTTAGAATAACCAATGTATAAAATAGGGGTATAAAGGCTCTTCTTGGGTTTTTGTTTATTAATGTTTAGAAATTAATAGTAGTAAATTAATGATTTAATCAATGAACCTATAGAAATGACTGAAGTAAAGGAGAGACAAGATTGGATCGATGATGAGCACGTGTGGCTATATGAGATATATACGATGAATACTAGTATGTGTCGATCTCTAAGGTCCAACACAAAAGAACTGTAGTCCATCCCTATTGTTTAAAGAGGTCCTACAGATAGATGTCAGGAATAAACAGGGATCTTGCTTTTGGTGTTAGTCTTCATTCATTTTTATTCTATTATTTTAATTAAATAAATGGGAGAATCTATAAATTTATAAATAAAGATGAATGTAATGAAGCATTGATCAATTATAAAAATATGTGTTTATGTAAGAAATACTATTGCTATATTATGAAAATCCTAAAGTTCCTTTAGAAATAAATGCTTCATGACTACTACCTGTATAAAGATGACAAACATTATAAGTCATAGACATTGTTCAGATGCTGGATCAATTTGCAAGATCAACATTGTTCTTTTCTTAAGGGAAAAATAGGTCCCAAATTGATCATTACCCAAACTGCTGAATAAACAAAATGTGAAAAGCAAAGATTAATGGAGAGAATGTCTCAATTAGTTATATCATCTGCTCTGCTCTCTGCTTCTCAGGACAGACACTCTGGACTAAGTTAAGGATTCTTCCTTGATCCAGAGCCCCGGAGCTGACCAATGTGAGTTATAATGAAAGTTCTTGTCTTGGTTTTGCTGTTTTGTCTAAGTAGATTCACTGTATTAATAAAAAGTGTGAAATCCAATCAAAGAAGGTGAACAGTATTCTAACAATCATGGGATTAATAGGAAGCATTATCTTGATTAAAAGCACATAAGAAAACAAGATAATGACAGATATTAATGTAGGGATGATTCTTGATATATATTAGGGATTTTAAGATCTTGTTAAGCTTTTGATTGTCATGGGGATTTAAAATTTTAATTAGTGAATTAATGAATTAATCAATAAACAATGTAGAAATGAATGAAGACAAAGTGGTCTTCTGGATCAATGATGATACCTGCTGGCATATGAGTCACGGATAATGAATAATATGTGTCTGAAAATGGGGTATTTCTCTATATGCATTTTCATTCTTTATTATAATTGGATCAATGACTTATCAATGAAGAAATATATAAAAATGAAGCTGAATGGTAGTTGTGTTGTCCAACTTAAAACATATATGGAGAGGCAATAAATTCTATTAATATAATTTGAAATAGTGAAGTCCAAAGAGAAATAAATGGTACATGGCTATAACCTCTTTGGCTAAGGGTGATGTAGACAGGGTAAATTATAGACTATGTTTATGTTCTTTGTCAGTGGGAAGTTCAAAGTAGTTTGTTTTCACAAGAGACAATGAGGTAAATGTTCTTCATAACAAATATCTAAATGCTTCCATAAAAGATCAATGGAAGGAAGTCTGTTTTTGTTATCTGCTCTGTTCTCGACTCCTCGGAATGACGCACTCCCGCCGATTGTAGCATTCCTCCGTGGAGACCATGTGAGTGATAATTAAAGTTATTGTCTTAGTGGGAATGGCTTCGTTAAGGGTGTTCACTGTCTTGTTCAAAAGTATTCATTATGATCAAAGAAGGTGAAATAGGCCATGTTAAATATCGAATTGATAGCAAACATTTAATTGACTAATCCATAAATGTAATACTAAGGTTAGCTAATAAAAGATATCTAGTCAACGTGGAAATGATTCTACAGATAAGGATGTCAAAGGATCTTATTCTTGTTTTTAAGATTAATGTTTATTTTTTATAATGAACTAATAAACACATGTTTATTAGAATGAAAAGAAAGAAGGACAGCCATGGATCCATGATGGCTGGTGGACAATGAATACTATGTGACCACACGAAAGGTACTAGTCCACTCCCATGTGTCAGTGGATCCTCCAGACTAGCGTGTGGAAGCTTTTTCCTGCCAAGGGCCATGTGGATATTTATAACGTCATTTGCTGAATATAATTCACTTAATATAAATTTATGTTGCTATGAAAAAAGCTCCTAGATTTATTGAATTTCGAGGCCCACCTGTGGTTGCCTTGGCAGGGCCAGACCAAATGCCTTCGCAGGTCTTACCTGGCCCACAAGCCGGTAGTCCCCACCCCTGCTCTAGACAGATGTGAAGCATATACATTTGTGTTGGTATTCGGGGTCATGATTTTAATAATATTAACAAAGTATCAATGGCAGAATAAATAACAAGTATATAAATGAATAAAGATGAAGAGGGGGAAGCATTATTCTCTGATAAATATCAAGGTAAATGAATATTAATATGCATTAGAATGAATAATAATTGGACCAAGTGTGTTGCAACTCTAAGGTTCATAAAAACAATGAAATGTAAGAGTCAGTTATTGCCTGAGTCAGTTGTAGGTTTAAAGTTAAAAATAAAAATAAGTATTATCATAAGTTAATAAATGCCTGAATGACTGTTTAAATAATTGGTGAAAACTATGAATCAATGAAGAGAAAGTCCCAATGTTTTTATCAACGCTCTGCTTGGTACTTTTCAAAGGAGGTGATCAAGCTAATTTTGTCTACTGTGCCATGATCAAGATTGTTATGTTGCCTTTATCTAGGAAAGATACTAAAGTGAGTAAAAGTCTAAGGTCTTGTTTTGGTTTGGGTCATTGTTTAAGGATATTTACAGTATTACCAATAGTAATATTATCAGAAAGGAACCTATTGCCCAATAATAAATCTAATAGAAAACATTATCTTGATTAATTAATAACATGTAACATTGAGATTGATTAATGAATGACATAAACCTAAGTTGATAATGATTCTTCAGGTAGAAATTAAGGATATTTAAGTATCTTGTTGTTAAGTTTTTGTGAATAATGTATTTTTATTATCAGTGAATTAATGAATTAATCAACACAAAAATAGAAATGAATGAAGAAAAAGTGGACTTCTGATGGACCATGATAGTGATAACAATTTGAAAATATGTGTCTGAAACTCAGGTCCAACACAATGCCTAGTGTATTCTCTCTGTTATATTCGGTACTGTAGACAGATGTTAAGAATATACAAAGATCATGTTCTTATTTTGGCTTCATAGATTTATACTTATTATTATTAATGGAGCCATAGAACCAGTAAAAAAATGTGAATAATAGCTAAAGAAAGAAGGGTGAAGCATTGTGCGACTTTGAACATATGTGGTAAGTAAAAAATAATATTTTAAAAATTAAAACATTGTGTTCATTAAGAAATACTGAAAGTAAGTCAACAAACAAGAAAAACAAACAAAAACTCATAGACAGGGGGAGGGGTTGGGAGGGTAGTAAATGGTAAAGGGGGTCAAATATATGGTGACGAAAGATGATTTTACTTTGGGTGGTGGGCACACAATACAATATACAGATGATGTTTCATAGAATTGACACTTGAAACTTACATAAACTTATTAACCAATGTCACCCCAATAAATTTAAGAAAAAAGAAAATAATTGAGTGAATCTGTTGTTTTGGGTTAGTCTCAAGTTTGAGATGGTTCCTTTTGTTAAAGTAATATATACACAGAAATTTTAAATACCTATGTAATACTTTAATTTTCTTCTGTTCGACTGTGCTTAGAATCTCTCAGAATGGACCATTCGAGCTAATTAAGTCTCATTCCATGGGGGCAGCTCCATGCTACCATCTCCATGTGAGCAGCACAGAGAGCAACGTGAGTAATAAATAGTCAAAGTTCCTGTCTGGGTTTTAATGATTTTTTTTAGGGTATTTAGTATATTTCTAAAAAGTGCCATAGGGAATCAAAGTAATCCAACTGTCATCCATTGATAAATTTTGAATTAACAGGAAACAGCATATTGATTAATGCTCCAATGAAATTTGGGATTATTAATGAAGGAGGTATATTGATATGAGAATAATTCTAGATACATAATAGGGATATCATTGTCTTCTTGGTTTTGTGAATCATCAAGTTTTAAAATTATAATTAGTGCTTAATTAGATCAATGATGACTACTGGTGGCATCTGAGTCATATATGATGAATATGTGTCTGGAACTCTGATAGATAGATGTCAGGATCAATACAAATCAATACACGGGTCATGTTTTTGTACTGATTTCATTGACATACCAGTAGATATTTTATTAATAGACTGATAGAAATATTAAACAAATAGTTAACTATTTAAAGAATTAGGATGAAGAAATACATCACCATGAATGTATGTGGTCAGGCAAAGGATATTATCAAAATTGAAAGGACATATTAATTAAGAAAACAATGTAGCTGTGAATTTCATCTTTGGTTAAGAATCATATAGACATTGATTAGTATGAATCTATTATATTGTTCTGGGTCAGTGTCAAGATTGAGTTTTTCATCATGTTAGGATAAATATACAGGGTGTCCCAAAAAATGTGTACACACACTTTGAAGAATTTATAAAGGCAGTGTTTCTTAAAATGCATTTCATTTTCAAAATTGAGCTATCAGCTGTTAAAGTATGTATACGTTTTTCGGGACACCCAGTATATACATTAAGATAAAAGAAGAAATATCTAAACCCTGAGTTTATGAAACGTGGTCAGCAGGGATCAATGTCCATTAGGTCTTACATTAAATATCTAGGGATATTAAGGACTGCTTCAGTGTCTTCCCTGGTTGCCTCTACATAATAGGAGGATGGAGATTAATGTCATCATAGTCAGTGTCATTTTCTTTGTTAAGTGTTTTTTATAAGGTAATTCACTGCAGTATTAAAAATTATAAAATATAAATAAAGATGGAATGTGTTTCAGTGATAAATATGAGATATATATGAGCCATTATATTGATTAATCCATGTATGAAAAGCAGGATAATTAATCAAAGAGGGACACTGATATGAAAATAATATATGTACAGGCTAGGGGTGTAATAACTCTTCTTGGGTTTGGGTGAGTCATAGTGTTTAGATATTAGTATTAGTGAATTAATGATTTAATCAATAAACAATTAAAAAGGAAGAAAATGGGTTCCAGTAGGATCAGTGATGACGACTGGTGGCGAACCAGTCACAGAGATGACTACATGGCTGCAACTCTGAGGTCTATCATAACAGAATCCCAGTTTGGTCTAAGTGTTCATACATTTACATTCTATTAAAATTGGATAAATGAGAGAATCTGTAAACAAATTATAAGTAAAGATGGATGTAGTGACATTTTATAACATCTTATTGTAAAAATACGTGATTACGCCAGAAATTACTATTGATACATTATGAAAACCCTGAAGTTTAATTAGAAGTAAGTGGTACATGACTGCTACCTGTATGGCTAAGGATGACTTGAATAGTATGATTCACAGACAGTGTTCAGATTCTGGGTCAGTGGCAAGATCAACGTTGTTTGTTTTCTCAAGAGAGAAAAGAATTTATACCAAATTAGTGACTGCCTAAGTGCCTTGCGAACTCAAAAGGTGAAGAGCAACAATCAATGGGGAGATTTTCATATGGGCAGATTTTCTCACTTTTTTTTTATCATCTGTTCAGCCTTTTATCCCTTAGGATGGACAAATTCGACCTGCTTTAGGGGTTCTTCCTTCACCATGAGCCATAGGATTGCATCTCTGTTTTTGGAGCATGGAGACCAATGTGAGTAATAATGAAAGTTCTTGTCTTTTCTGGTATTTGTTGTGAATAATTGCAACATTAATAGTTTTTTGATTAATTCATATGTGCAAAACAATAATCAACAATGATATCTTGTTGTGAGAATGATTCCAGTTAAATTCTAAGAATGTCTAGTTACATTCTAAGGCCTTGTTGGTTTTTAAGTTATAATTAGTGAATTCATGAATTAATCAATAAACAACATAGAAATGAATGAAGACAACATGGTCTTCTGGATCAATGATGATACCTGCCGGCGTTATGAGTCACCATGACAAATAATGCATGTCTGAGACGCTGAGGTCCACCTCAGAAGCAGTGCGGTCTTTCTCTTCCTGCGAAGCATGCCTCATTTTATTATCATCTGCTTTGCTCTTTATGCCTCAGAATGGACACACGTGACCTGACTTAGGCATCTTCCTTGGTCCTGAATGTTCTGGGTGCATCTACGTTGTAGGAGCATGGAGACCCACGTAAGTAATATCAATATTTTAGATTGAATGGCTTGTTTTATGGTATTCACTGTATTATTCCACATATTAAATGTAATTAAAGAATATGTGCACCCCTATGTGCATAGCAGTGTTATTTATAATAGCTGAGATCTGGAAACAGCCCAGTGCCCACCAGTAGATGAGTGGATAAATAACCCATGGTACATTTACACAATGGAATGCTATGCAGCTGTAGAAATGAAGGATCTATTCCCCTTCGAGATGGCATGGAGTGACCTGGAGATTATTATGCTAAGCAAAATAAGTGAATCAGAGAAAGACAATATCACAGGAAATCACTTATATGTGAAATCTAATGAGCAAAATAAACTGACCAGTAAAATAGAACTAGTGACATGGAAAGATGGAACAGACTGACGAATCTCAGAGGGAAGGGGGCATTCAAAGAAATAATAAATAAATACATACAAGGTGTCCCCCCAAAATGTATACACACTTTAATAGCTGATAGCTCAATTTTGAAAATTGTACATATTTTTAAAAACACTGCCTTTATAATTATTCAAAGTACGTGTATACATTTTTTGGGGGGATACCCTATAAATATAAATATGAAGATGGTGAAACTTTGTCCAATTTTAAAAATATGTGTTTAGATAAAAAGCTATTAATAAATGTATTGGAAACAAATATCTATTAGTATATAGGTACAAAGTGTTATTCTTTGACTAAGTATGATATAGTTATTGATAAGTAATAGTCAATAGTCATATTATCTGTCCATTGCAACATTGGTATTGTTCATTTACTTATACATTATCTCAATTCATTACTTTACTGACTAAATGGCTGACTAATAAAAAGGTGACATTCTAGAATTAATGAATTAATATCTCAACTTTATAAATTATTGTTTTCTCTTGTACTCCTTAAAATCATTGCATGTGGGTGATTTAAGCATGCTGCCATGATCA